TAGTATACTCTGTTATTATCTATATATTATCTTGTAAGGTGGTTGAGATATACACGTGTAGAGGTGCGCAAAGTTGGTGGGGTGGCTCACTCGCTTGCCTGGCTCACTCGCTTGCCAACCATGTTATATGATTGGGTTGAACAGTTGGCTTCCATCGCCATTGCCGTACACTACACCGATTCCTGATTATGCTTCAGATCGCATATCGTTCGAACATGCCCCAACCGTCAAGACAATGCGATGGCGGCAGCAACGGGAAGTCATTTCATCCAGGATATTCGTGGAGTTTTGGTACAGACCAACTTGCGATCTCAGGACAGAGGATGAATTTCCTATCGTAGATGATGATCATAGGGTGAGCCATCTTTGTGAGAGCACTTGGCTAAACCAAGGCAGGATCTCGGTATTGAGTTATGGGTCACAGTGGAGCTCTACTTGAACGAGGCGTCGGTGTTCGGGAGATTTTTTGAGCCGTTTGAGACAGCCCGCATCAATCTGGCTAGTTCCATAACCACTACATGCACCATTCGCGCGTTCCAAAGACAGTGGAAAGCGAGAACTCAAACCTTGGACTTGTCCATCACAACAGGCCCAAAAACATCTACCAGCAGTCGCAACACACACAACACAGCTACTGATGGGCTTCCTGGCCAGCGCATCGTACTCGGGTAAGTCTGCAACGTCCTGTATCGACGCGACGGAAGCTGCACCACGGGGTTGGCGGATTCGAGGCGTCTGCTAGCCAAGACCGATAAAGAAGACGACGAATCCATGTCGTGGCTTGCGGCTGGGCGGGTACGCTAGCCGATGCGTTGCGAGGCGAGCGGCCGTATGTACCGGTAGCTGTCTCTTGCAATCTGATGAGTCACAGGACCATCACACGCGCTGTGCGAGCTGCAATACGCATGTCAGCGTGCTTGGCTGCAGCGATTTCAATTCACCGTAAGCATTGTAGTGAAGCCGGTGCTTCCTGTCAATGTGTCTAGCCCATATTAGCGCAAAAAGAAAAACTCATTTGTTCGTGCCGCGTGCTTTTAGTGCTCGCATGACGTTGTGTGACCACCGGGAACGTTGACGTGTCTGTTATGCAAGAGGTTCGCTTCGTTGCACTATTCCTAATGCGGGCTTTACAACAAGCACCTGTGGAGATATCCTCTTCTTGCTAGCGCATATGTTGGCGAGAGTTGCCTGTCTACATGTGGATGGATCTGTTTAGTCGTCCTTGGTTGCCACGTTCAGCAAACAAAGCGATTCTTTGAATTAAATACAGAGTCAGCTTTATATATGCAGGTTGTTGTTTGCTTGCTGTACTTGTGTCAGCTCCGACGAGCCGCGAATGTGTAGCCCGGGACTGATGTAATACCTTCCCTATACAGCAAAGCATATGCTGCGTTCTTCAATCCGGCGTGCAAAAAAGCACACCGCCTACCCTTTGGATTGGTGTTCATGGCGGGTGGTTGCGTAAGTCCAAACACAAGCGTAGCTAGATAGCCGATATCACTGCAATTAAGGATGTTCTGCAAGAGCAGCCCAACTCAATTGCCGACTGATACTAGGAAGCCCTATCGAGAGTAATTAAAAAGACTACAAACTAATTTTTACTTGCTTTTGGTACCTTGTTACCTACGACAACATGCAGACCTTGTGCGTATCAAGTACGTCATCTGATGTTACGCTGCGCCATTTGTCCAACCTTGCTGCATCCCAGTTTCCAGCACAACGATTTTACCTAGCAACATGCAGCTTCACGGATCGTGTCATAGTCATACGACCCTAATCTGGAGCTAAGGATGGCATCATACAACTAGCCCGTTGCTCTGATTGGCAGAACTAAAGTAATCTGGTACGAGGAGCCCACCACGTGAGAGGAAATACAGGTATGGCGTGCGCCATGATCTTTTCATTGGTTCGAGTCCTAGTGCAAGTTGCGATCGGCCACAGTTCACATCTTCAGGTAGTTTGACATATTCCAGCTAGCAGGCCTGCTCTGCCCGCCACACATATTCAGGAATCATGCCAAGATATGGTTCGTATGTACCACATGCTGCATCTCGAGAACTATGTATTTCGACCAGTTGATATCTCACAACTTTTGATCCGGTCTCATGGGAGCTATGGCCTCATTAAAAGCTTGGACAATGCCTATGGGGTTGCGCATGAGGAAGATCGGGTGTCTTCTTCATTGGTGCTGCATAAGGCGATTTACGGAGTAGATATGAGCTCGGTCCGGTCACGTGTTTATGGAGAGAGTAACACAGTGGGTGATGAAGCTCTTGTATCATGATACCACAGACACGTCTACATCCTTTTCATAGAACCATATTGTTGAGTGCTCAGCTTTGCGTTCGCATACCACTCTCGTTCGTTGAGCGAACCGATGCGATTCAGATGTGGGAGCTTCCACTTTCTCTGCACTGAAATCTGTTGAGGCATCAATTAACGAGAAACGCCGGTGCAACAAAGAGTGGCTAGATAGGTGATATTAGCTTCGCCACTCATGCAGACTCTCCAAGATTCCGTCAGTAGATAGGTTAGAGATCAATGTGAACGCAACAAGGGCTGTGTTAAGTATGATAGTAGCATTACGTATTTGTGCTTCCAAGTGTGGACTCTCATCAGAATGCTATTGATACATGTAAGCTTAGCTCAAGCTTGCGTTTGATGGGAGCTAGTAAGCGCTCGCGGAAGTTCAGGGGTCAGGTCCAACATATTGTGGCTGCATTTTTTCGAGGCAATGTTGCGCTAGCTTTAGAATTAGCATCCAATAGACCTGACCGGATCTTCTAGGCGATCCAACGTTGATTTGTTGCCATGTGCACATCATGACTTATGCCTCGCGTCGAAGTCTGATACGCTGAGTTACACGACAGTTGCGGTGTGCGCGCTCAAGTGATAAGCATAGCTCCCGGAACGTACGGATAGTCCAAATCTGCTACCAATTCTTCCTCGTTGGCGCCACTATGGAGCGTAGTTCAGAAAAGGACGCTGTCTTGACGTGGTACAGATCCGTCTCCTCTCGTCTTGTAGATCTTATTGGGGATTACGCAGGTAGCGAAAGATTCATTATTGAGTTTGATTCGCTCCTGCTTCAATGCTTTTCCAATTCGAAGCTTGACTTTGGTGGTAAGTACTAAGGATCGCTTCCACTAAGGTCTGACCATAGCGTTTACATATCGACTAGATGGCTTTCAACTGCTCCATGCGGTCTACATCGTTGAGAAGTTTCTTCAAGATCTGCTCTCAAGGAGATGTCGGTTCCAGGTAGTCTGCTTTGACCAGAATCAAGAGCTTTGTATCCCACCAAATTCAGGTCAGACGAACTGGCCTAAGTATGCGCTGGCGCGATCGGTCATCTTCAGACACCTGTCACGCAGCTTGGCTTTGGACGAGAGAGTCACGTTTAAACGGTTTACTTCATTTACGGATGATGAGTTTGTGCAGTACCTCGATGAAAGTGGCACATACTTCGTCATGTGTCACGATGGCGCCATGGTAGACGCCTCAGGGTCAAATTTGGCACTGCGTTCAGATAGCGGCCAAGATCTCAAGTCATACGAAGAAGATCAGGTGTTGCCGCGTGAAACGAAAAACTCAGCTTCTTCTCCATCTACTGGACACCTTCGTAAAATAAACCTCAGAGCCATGATTCTTTGGTTCATGAGTAATCGGCACAGTGTTGCCCTGATCAATGAGTTGCAATGCACAGACAGTAAGGTGAGTGTTCATGCTCTACTGTCGCGTTATTTCTTGTTCTGACGGTGTCCTAGACGATGGCTGTGGTTTTAGAGTCCTCGCGACAACACAATCAGAATGGATTCGACCCATCTTGTTATGCCGCAGCTTCTCATGACATATCCTCCATCGAGAGTCCTGTATTGGAAAATTTGGGAGGGATTTTTGAGCCGTCGGAAAGAGACGTGGTCACCGTCCTCGTCCTCCGTACAGCGAGGCGGCATTGCGCAATATCTGATGACGAAGCCTCCGCCTTCTTCCTACATACTGCTGCTCTTCAGTACTTCCCGCTTGCAGCTCGGAGGCCGTCAAATACCTCGGAGAACACCGCTCAGACCCTTATTTGCTCCTTCACACAGATTGCAGCTTCCCTACTCTGTAACAAGGACCTATCTGAGCAGCTTGATGTCTTGAATCTCCCGGTCAATCTTGCAGATCTCCTCGATGGGTTCTTGCTTGCTGCTATAATCCGAGATGCCTGCCTTCGCAATATACTGCTAGCCAACAAATCTGTCAAGAAGAAATACGACAGCCTGCTTGATACATTCATTGAAGCCCCCAAGAATAGTCTTGATGGAATACTCCCCATGAGTATGACCACCGATGTTCAGGTTTCTCGAGACTCGGCCCGGCATCGCTACACAGTCCCTGATTACGATCAGACTGTTCTCCCCTTCAAGAATGCCATCTTCGACAAGCACCTTGCTCCCATTGGACTGGAGTTGGATGAAAAAATTTCAGACGAGGCAACACATGACAATGCCAGAGTCTTCCAAGAACTATCGCATTGGCACAATCATAGAAAGACCCTTGCATCGAAGACGGCGACGCAGAAGCTCGGTTATTTTGCCCGCCGTAGGAACGATTTGTATATGGCTGAAATGCATGCGTACGCAGCCAGCCTTACTAATGCAGCTGGGAAGGTCTTGGAGCCTGAAATTATCGTTGCGAATCAGAAAATACAGCCATCCAAACCACCGAAGGCTCTTGTAGTGTATGCACCCGGCCGTTCGAACCAGCTCGAGAAAGGACGATGTTCTAAAGGTGACAAAAAAACGAACAAACCAATAAAGAAGAGCGGGAAGACTATGGCTCTTGAGACGGCAGCCGCGATTAAGGCAGCAAAGACTCAATCTAAAGGAAACATCGACGCTGCCTACTGGAGAGCGAAATGTAAGGAGCTTGGTGGTCAATTCAATCTGCAACTTCGGTACCTCACAGCCCGGGATTACTCTACAAAGTTAGGTTATGACAGTTCGATCAAGCCAGAGGTTGAGCTATACACAATAGACTGCCTACTCCGGATCTGGATGCAATGTCATGGAGACACAGCTGTAGAATCTGGAGGAAGCTTTGCAGCTCTCATTTGGAACACACTCCTGGAGTTGCTGAAGACGAAATCAGGAATGACACCAGAGATCTCGGCTTCTCTAGAAGTGATCTTGAAGGTCTTGAAACTCCCTGCGCTCAGATACGAGGCGGAGGCTACTAGTCGGCCACTCGAATTCACTTGCATATTCAACGAGGCAGAGATCTCGAGAGCTTCTATGTCTATCTCGACAATACGTAACAAACTACCCATTCCAGGCGGTGCAAAGATATTTCAGTTGGAGCATTGTGGACCGTATCTTGAAAGGGAAATTGGCTCAGCTATAGACGAACGTGTTCCGTTTCGTCCCGATGCATGGCAACGCAAGGTTCTTGATGCGATTGATGAGAACCATTCTCTGTTCGTTGTTGCACCGACTAGTGCTGGGAAGACGTTCATCTCCTTCTATGCAATGAAGCAAGTTCTCACGAACGATGACGATGGCGTCATCGTCTACGTTGCACCGACCAAAGCTCTTGTCAACCAAATTGCCGCTGAAATCCAAGCACGTTTTTCCAAGTCCTTCAAACGGCCCGGGAAGTCAGTCTGGGCAATTCATACACGGGACTACCGAATCAACAACGCTACCGGATGTCAGATCTTGGTGACCGTGCCTCATATCCTCCAGATCATGCTGCTAGCTCCCTCCAATGCTGAGACGGAAAACTCTTGGAGCTACCGGATCAAGCGGATTATATTTGACGAAATCCATTGCATTGGTCAGGCAGAAGATGGTGTGGTCTGGGAACAATTGTTGTTGCAGTCACCTTGTCCTATCATAGCCCTCTCTGCAACTGTTGGAAATCCGGAAGAGTTCAGTGCCTGGCTTGGGTCAACTCAAGAAGCAAATGGGAACAAGCTTGTCACAGTTGAGCACCACCATCGATACTCGGACTTACGTAAATTCATCTACGTTCCTCCAAAGAGGTTTTGCTTTGCAGGTCTACCAGAAAGCTCTCCTATCCATACACCAGGCCTAGACGGAATGGAACCCTTCTGTTTCGTCCATCCTATCTCGAGCTTGAATATCAAGTCTCGAGGAATGCCAAAAGACCTCCATCTGGAGGCTCGGGACTGTCTTTGGCTCTGGCAAACGATGGAAAAGCACGCAACAAAGGAGTACGATGTACCCCCCAACCTCGGCCCAGGCGCACTTCCGGATGTAGTTAAAAGGGTCCACATCTTCGAATGGGAGAAGAATCTCAAGGCTAAGCTGCTAGAATGGATGAACCAAAAGGGCTCACCATTTGAGAAAGTTCAGCAGGATCTGAGCAAAAAGCTCGTTCAACCTACAACCCGCAACCTTTTCAGCACGAAACGCATCTTCGGTGATAAATTTGGAGCTAGGGATGTCAATCCAGAGAGCCTTGCTTCGATGATTTTGCCAGCGCTTGCCGATCTGCATGCTAAGAACGCTCTTCCAGCCATTGTTTTCAACTATGATCGTGGTCAGTGTGAAAAGCTGATGAAAGATGTGATCAAGGAACTGGAGATAAACGAGTTAGCTTGGAAAACCACGAGTACCTCGTGGAAAGAGAAACTTGCGGCATTCGAAATGTTCAAGAAAAATCAAGAAGCGATCAAGGCCAAATCCAAAGATGGAAAGAGCACAGGTAAAATGAAAGCTAGGCGTGGAAACAGCAAGAGAGAAAAAGACAATGAAGAGAGACTGTCGAAACTGGACCGTGAACGCGAAGCCGCCTCTGCAGAGCATACCAAGTGGGATGGTTTCGATCCTCATGCCCCAATCAACGGCTTTCACTTCGCCAACATGCATAAATTGCTGCAATCAGAGCTCGACGTGTACAAGCAACAACTTCGTGATCGAGGCATCGCAGAATGGCTCATCAGTGCTTTGAACCGAGGCATCGGTGTCCACCATGCAGGTATGAATCGGAAATATCGTCAGGTGGTGGAGATACTTTTCCGTAGAGGCTACCTACAAGTTGTAATTGCCACTGGCACTCTTGCGCTGGGCATCAATATGCCCTGTAAAACTGTAGTTTTCGCTGGAGACTCTGTCTTCCTTACCGCACTCAACTTCCGCCAGTGTGCTGGTCGAGCTGGTCGGAGAGGGTTTGACCTACTTGGGAATGTCCTGTTTCTTGGAATCCCTGTTGGAAGAGTATTCCGTCTCATGAGCTCAAGACTTCCAGATCTAAACGGACATTTCCCTATCACAACATCGCTGGTCTTGCGGCTAGCCACTTTGCTCCATGGCTCAAGCAACTCCGACTTTGCAACTCGTACGATCAACTCTATCCTTTCCCAGCCTCGGCTCTACCTTGGCTCCCCCGAATCCAAGATGGCTGTTCTACACCATCTTCGCTTCTCCATCGAGTATCTTCGACGCCAGTCCTTGCTGGATCTTCATGGTTCGCCAATCAATTTTGCTGGGTGTATCACTCACTTATACTACACCGAAAACTCGGCCTGGGCCTTTCACGTCCTCCTCAGTTCGGGCTACTTCCACGATCTCTCTCGGGACATCGATTCGAATCCCCAACACGTTTGCTCAACACTTATGCTTGTGTTATCACATATCTTTGGTCGGCAGCAATGCAAACGCGTAGATGGGGAGTTTGTCGAGGAGGTCGTGAAGCGATCGCCTTCGATCGTCTTCTTACCGCCATTGCCGAAGAAAGCGGAGAAGACGCTTCGAGCTCATAACATCGAAACCTTAGCAATCTTCCGCACTTATGTCAAAACTTACGCGGACCAGCATCTAAAAGATCCGGATGACGCGTTGCCACTGAGTAGAATACGGATTGGTCGGTCGGACGAGCAGTTCAACATAACCCCAAATGCGCATCAGCACACAGTTCTTCGTTCCCCCTTCGTCTCACTCTCGGGCCATGGTGACGAATTTGATAGTATCTCCGATCTCTGTGGTACAGTACGTTCGGGTGTCTTTCTGGAAGAGGCTGTTGTGCCATACTTGCCCATTCATCCAGAAACTACAGTACCACTCAATGCGTACTTATATGATTTCTACAAGCATGGCGATCTGAATGCCTTAGAGAAGGCAAACAAGATCCGCAGGTCCGATGTCTGGTTCCACCTGAACGGTACGTCTCTTCCGAAACATCGATGACCGTTGCTGACGTCTGACTAGACTTCTCACTCGTCCTCGCAACGATCATAACAGCTTTGACCAACTTCATGAAACCCTCCTCACCATTCGAAGCAGACGCAACTGATCTGAAAGGCAGTGGCGACGTGTACGAGGAATCAAAGGACGATAGTTTGACAGTCGGAAGCGACGATAATGCAGGACAAGAAGGCAAAGATTCAGCCTCAACCACCGTCTGGGCTCCAATCGGTGTTTGGGACGATGAGGATGATGAGCTGGAAGATTGGGACGATGTAAACATGCGCCTACCACAGGTATTAAAAGCGTTTTCATGTCTGAAGGGGGAGTTTGATGGTAAATTCAAGCAGATGTGGGCTTAGGCGCTGAAGCTGCCAATGTAGACTTGTTATGCAAAGAAGACACTACTGCATCCATGAACTACATGCTATTCCTGATCCCGGAAGCTTGCTTGGGCCTAAGTTAAGATGGAAGGAAACCACACACGCAGTCTCTGGTAATGTAAAACATCATTGAGGTGTGAGGTAACAAAGTCCCAACCAATGTGAGTCGCGGTTCGGACCATACTCAGGTGTCGTGGCACGGAGCTATCCCTTTTCCAAAACTAAATCCTTCCGGGAGATCGCGATCGCCACTCGAGTCAACCGCCTTGGAAACTACTTCAGATCGACGCCGTGCCACACCTCCTACCAGCACTTTCTCGCATCTGCTGCTGCACTATCTTATTGTTCGCTTATAGCTTAGCTCAGTCGATATCAGGACTCTAAGATTTATACTTTAATAGACGAACCTTCATCTTATTTGCGGGCCAATCAGGAGCAACCTCGCTTCCGCTATGCCTGCCTCTCCTCGCCTCACCAACACTCACCAATGCCCTCCGTTGATGATCAGATTCCAATCTTGAGAAACGCAAACCTTCGAAGATATAATACATAATAGGCCCGAAAACACGTTGGACTACCGCGTCTCAGTCGCGTCTTTTCGTGTAGCACCCCAGCCTCCTCACTCCTCTGTAGAGTATATGCTATCAACCTCACGCTGTTATCCCATAAGTCTTCTGATCCTTATTCCTGGTAACGACAATGGATCTTTTTGTCTTTTATCCACAATATCAAGTGCTTGTGTGCAAGCCGTGTGCCTAGTATATGATGCTACGTGGATTCGACCCCGATCCATCCTAATCGAGTAATTAGGCACCCTGATCCAAAAACGGGCGCATGCAACGCGGATCAGACACTGATTCTCACCCATTATGGTCTAGCACAAATCAGCCCCTTAACTTCTGCATTTTAGTCCTAGTGTAAGCCCCCAAACGATCATACTTCTGATAATGAAATACAACTAGTTAGTTACAGCAAAGCCATCTTTGTATTCTTGCTTTTCCTTGATAGGTATAACTGCTCAAAGCACAGAGATGGCAACAAATTGGATCCTGTCAACACCAGCCTCTATCACTAACCACCTTGTACGTCGTGCCAATCGCCTAGATCAAAGCCATTAGTCACTAAACTCACATTTCATATCCTACAACCACATAACCCAATTACTCTAGATTACATCACATTCGTCTTAGGCGAGAAAGTAATCATCTGCACCCGCTGCTGCACCGCAGTACCTGTCACGCGCTTAAATGCCAATCTTCAAACTTCCCACCATGTTCCATGCAAGCTACGGCATGTGATGATAGCACGATTTGACGGTATGCCTGCTGCGCAATCTTTTCAAGATCCAGTGCCTCGCTAGATTGGATCCCCGCCATTCTCGTATGTTCACTGGGTAGTCACCCAAGATAGCAGTTCTAGTGAGCAAGCGATCCATGAGCAACCGTACTCTACAAGCGAAGAAGAACAGCTAGTGCGGATGGAGGATGATGATGCAGAAGAAGAAGAAGAAGAACAGCGCTTTAATGGCGAGAGTGACGTGGTAGCTTCAGACGCGGAGCTCGAGCATGACGAGAATACTGAGAGGCTTCGAGGCTGTGAATGACCATTGTGGTTCGCTCACAAGAGCCTATCCATGTTATCGTCTCAGCTGCAGCATTGCCCTCCGCGAGAACATTAGAGGATCGTATACTAGGCCTTTGGAATGGTTTCGAATTTGTGAGCCCAGCACAGACAGAGAGGCTTATTTGGAAAATCCTCGAGGCCAGCAGAATTGTGTTTCAGCGATGCGAAATAATGCTTAAACAGACACCACGCGTTGTGCATTGCTAGCTTCGGAGCTGGACGCCTTTTTTCCTCCTTTATCTATTTAAGCTACTTTAACGCGAATAAACCCGGCGAAGATACTACGCTATCTACGAGCGGTTTCTATGCTATATATTCTAGAAACTAGTACTATTACGTAATATAAAGGAGTCTATAAGCGAAATCTCTAGGCTGTAGCTAACTGCGGCTTAGATAGCTATAATAACCTATATCTAGGACTATCTCTTGACTGTTAGCTAGTAGGCAGACTATAGTGTACTACTTAAGTATTACTAGATAGTGTCCATGAGAATCTGTTCCAACTTCTTGTCATGTTCTAGACGGACCTGTCGCACGATGGAAACATGAGCCGTAGCGCTAATATGCATCTCTCTGGTGTTCTAGGAATCTACCCTGCTGAACTATGCTTCCGTAAGCCCTATGATCATACGCTATTCATATCAGCACTCCTATGGGTGGAGCGTCGAATCATACTCGAGTACGCACTACCGCTTCCACCTTAACCAGATTTGCTAGGCAAGTAATGAAAAGGACTCGCTTTTGACATGACACAGTATGAGAGATATAACTGAAAATCACTACTTGTCTAGCTAACTTGCACTTGTTAACTATTGCATTAACTTGTACGTCAAGCAAAGCCCTACAGGCGTGAATACATAACACCGTTCCTGTACACTCTTGCAAAGAAAACATAGACTGCCCATAGCACCTCGTGATGAGTCACGTAAGCCATTGCATGTTTTTGCAAGGGCATCAAATGAGCTACTTCTCGAACAACAGTCTACGAGCCCGCTGATTGGACAGAAGCGAACACACGAAGAAGTCGAAACTGAGCTGCAACACCGGCTGCTCCTCGAGAGCACGATACGCAAGAAAACAAAGCATGCAGGTAGAGCTATACGGACGACGAAAACACGTTTGCTATAAGAATAAGTTGACAGCGCCTATTCAAAGGAAGTGAAGTGTGGATTTAAACTTTAGATCTGCCGATCCACCAGGAAATTACATGTATGCTCTCGACTTGCCTCGACGCAAGTTCCGATTGCTAACTCTAAGTAGCCAGTATCGACCGTAGTCGATGCAATGCGCTTGATTATGTTGTCTCTAAATTACACCGCTTACTCGAAGTCTATCGAGACTTCGACTACTCCTATCCTGACAACTTATCATACTGTTTCCAATGTGGAGCTTTTCTCTTTAGCACATTAATAAAATATATAGAGAAATAGGGCTATCTCCCGCCCTGGCTAGAAGATCCTTTCCTAGAAATTAGCCTTAGTAGAATCTATAGCAGGAACGGAATAGTAGAGAATACAAAATGGTAGCATAAAAGCCGCCGTTACGGCTACTTTGAAGACAAGGAATATGGCTTCAAGACTCACTTATGCGGCCTAAATTCCACCGCTCATCGCAGCAAACTGCAACTATGGGCTGTAGCGTGACGTTGCGTCAGACGTTGAATAGGAGGTGCAATTTCACAAAAGTGGCGGTAAGTCATGCGAGACGAGGCCTTACTAAGAGTTGGAAGCCCCGTGTCCTATCAAAAATCGTGGAAATGTAAAAGCCTATTCACCTGCGCCTGACTTTGAGCAATACGCCCAAGAAGCCTGGAATGCCTGACACTTCGCTCTTAGTTATACCAGCAAGTTTCTACTGAATATGGTTGAGTATTTCAATAGGTACTAATGCGGAAGCAACACTGCCTTGTTCTACTCTAGCTGAGCCGCGAGTTCTCTAATCATCGCTCGACATCGCTCGCACGATTTCCAACCATCGCCCTCTGACAGATGGTGGGAGCGGCGAGGACAAAGCACGCTTGATATCTCTGGCATGGATTCTTGCATGGGTTTCTCTTCTTCCTCTACAGCCACATCCTCTGCCCGCTTCTGTTCCTGCTCCACTAGTGCACCCTTGTTAGTATCATTTTTCTTCTTGCCACCACCCCATATCGAACTAAATTCCCAATCGCCCCCATTATCCTTCTCTTCGACGAGCTCCAGTTCAGCGGTCGTCCCAGGAATGATTACAACCTCAGGCTCTGAAATGGGCTCTTCTGTTGGAGGTTCTGAAATCATTGCAGCGACGCCTTTCTTCTGCTCACTCTTCTTGATTGGAGCAGCGGTTGCACCCCAGTCACCCCAGTTGTCTTTCGCTTTCTGCTTTGTGGGTTGGGAAGGTTCGGGCTCGATGAAGGGCTCTGGAGGTGGCGGCGGCGGTTCTTCGACCCTGAGCTCCTCTTTTACGCCCTTCTTTTTCTTCTTTTTCTTCTCAGTCATTGTCGCAGCACCACAGCTAGCCCAAGGATCGTCTTTCTGCATTTTGCTGAGTCCCACAAACGGATCGACCGCCAGCTCCTCCACACGTTCCGGTTCTGCTTCGGGGGGAGGAGGGGTTGATTCGCACGTAGCTTCTGGTTCTGGTTCTGATGATTGGGGTTCCTTGTCTTTAGGCTCATCTTGGGCTTTCTTATTCTTCGATCTCCTGCCCGTGGTCGCCGCGAATCCCCACGGATCCTCTTCCTTGACAGGTTCCGGTTCGGGAACCGGTTCTGGCACTGAATCGATTACTGGCTCAGGCTCTGGCAGAGGCTCCTCGACCGCGCCTCTCTTCTTTTTCTTTTTGTTCTTGCCAGTACTGCTAGACGAGAACGACCATGGGTCGTATTCCTCTTTCTCTTCTGGTTCAGGAGCTAGTGCAGGCTCTAGTTCCCAGTCAGACACAGAAGACATCCTAAGACTCTCTATGCGCGAGCCTGTCGGATGTCTGCCGTGGCAGCGAGAGAAACAATGTGCTTTTCCAGCTGTATCCTCGACTCCGTCAAACACTGCATCAGCCCTCTCTTCATTCACGCAGTGGCCTTCCCACTTTTGCGGTACATGAGTAAGCTTCTCAGTAAATGTCTCCAGAAGATGACATGTCATGAATCTGTGCAGCTTACCATCACCCACACTGTCAATATAGGCTTTGCATGTAAAGTACCTATAATCGAGGCTGAATTGCAAGTTGGCTCGAGCCTGCAGGTACTCATGGAACCAGGAAAAAGCCATCTTTGGAAACCACGTGCACTTCCTCGCGATGTCCAGAACTTCGTCGAGTGCCATGGAATAACCATGTGTTCTGATCTGCTCTTTTGCGAGGCCTTCAAGGTCCGGTAATTCGTACATGGTAGCAAGAGCAAATGCCAAGAGGGCTTGTTTGAACTTGATAGGCGCCATTGACGCTGCGTCGTCGCTTCTTGCTTCGAGTGGTTGATACGTGCCGGTATAAAGGTAGTGGACAAGCGTATGTCCCGTAGCTGCGCTCACTCCCGGGAGGTCAACTGTCCCTCCGGCATCGGTGGTTGACCACTTCGGCGAACGTAGAAGGTGTTTTGGTACGCAATAGGTGGCAAGCCCTGGGCCGCAATCGATGACAACGGGAGCACAAGCGTAAGGGCTACCAATTATTAGAGAAAACATTCAGATCCCAGGGAGCGTCAGGTCTCAACTTACGATATCATAGTCTCGTCTAGTTCCGGCTCTCTTGTTGTGTCTTTTGCTACTTCACTGTCCACGCTCGTGCTGGGTGTGGCCGAAGGATTGTCTACCACAACAACCTCAACCTCCTCTCCTGCATGGACATTGTTCTCGGCGGGCTGATCGAGGAACATGGATGCCTCGCTTTCACATGATACAGCAATCGCACACATACAAAGAAAGCTAGATCGCTTCTTCTTTGCCATTGTGTTGGAGTAGTAGATGATACAATACTATGCGAGACAAAATGACGAGGTGGAGACTTCTCGATGCCGTCGAGTATGTGCTCAATAGTCATTTTAGTGGTACCATCATCTTCAGGCAGCAATGCTGAACACATGCTCTGCACGACGCTAACCCCAGCAGCAGTAGCCACTTAGCGCCCGCCACGAAGCTCGTACAACATCGAAACCCTACACTCGGCGCCACATTATGTAACAAGTCACAGGCAGCTCCAATGAAAGTGCAGAATTCTATGGTCATGCAAGGAATGACAAACCACAAGACAAGATCAGGAGGGTCAATTTCTTGTGATGACTTTGGAATAGGAATGCAATTTCTTGGTACATAGGTGAGCGGATCGACAAGGCTAAATCAGGTGGTCGAAGCGCAATGCATACAGTCAGGGGACAGGCACGCAAGTATCCAGAGTACCAGTAGTGATAGCGTGCGTGGGTTACGGAAACATGGAACGTCGGGACATGGGGCAGTGACAGATCGCGGTCGCTCAGATCGTGGAGCGGATACCGATACATCTCGTAGTGTACCGTGGAACCAAGCAGAATTGCAAGGATTCAGGCTCTGCGCGGTACGAGAGGGACAAGCGTCCGAGATACGCTGAAACCTTATATAGCAGACGGGCCGACCAACAGCCGAAAAAACGGCACTAGCTTAGTAATCAGACGAGATCTACGGCTCATCTAGCCGACCACTGGTGCATGCAGTCCGATGGATACCAGCCCACGTCGGCATACCCGGGAACGAGGGCGTCGACAAAGCAGCCAAGGAAGCCATTAGATGGAGAGAAGACGGCCGCAGAAGCTTGCCGGCAGACGCGCCTCCCCAGCTGTTCACTATAAGGTCGACTGTAAAAAGACGGTGCAGCATACAAGCCGAACGGGCATGGATAGCAATGTGGCGCAAGGACACCAAGGGCCGAGCAACCTACAGACACACTCCAACGCCCACCAAGAAAGTACTCCGGCTCCACGAGGGGCTCACTAAGCGGGAGAGCGCGCTGCTGGTGCAGCTGCGGACAGAGAAGATCGGACTTAACGACTTTCTCTTCGCCCAAAGATTGCCAGACGTCACCAGCCCGCGCTGCGACTGCGGAGCGAGACGACAGACCGTCGCACATATCCTTCTCCACTGCGGCAAGCGCAGGCATCTCCGGGACCGTATCTTCGCCAACCTGTCCGGACGAGACAACATCCGGACCATCCTAGGCACGCCACAGCTAGCCACCAAAGCCATCGAGTATGTAGAGCAAACGCAGATCCTTGGGCAAAATGGGGATCGCAGGCTCTGAGTCGACGGAATAGTCTGTGTAACATACTATACCAGTGCCAAATGTTGTCCTTCTGTAGCATCGTAGTCCTCTTTCTTTATGGGGTTCTGCTGGCACTTGCTACTCCGAGTGTCTGGACCGCGGCGCAGGTCTTGGTCGTCCATTCCTCTTCTACCATACTGATTCCTGTCGCCGTCTCTTGCTCAGCACCATCTCTGCCATCCCACATAGTTTCATGACTTTTCTTCTCTGATTCTGACATATGAATCCGCATTCCCAAAATACTCCCTAAAGCTCGATCCGACGGTCCAAGTACCCAGATCTCTCACTACTTCTCTTGCCGCGTCGCATAAGTCTACTTGGCCCGTCTCTTCGTTTCGGCCCAGCGCTTCCCAGGTAGCGTATGGCCAGTCGCACTCTATGTTGATGCTCATATCCATGAACCACTCCATGCGTTCCTGCATAGCAGGAATCTGAACAACAAGTTCGCGGAAGGCAGGCCAGACTATGAAGTCGATGATGTGAATATGTGGCATGAAGAGTTGGTTCGGAGAAGGGCGGAGTCACTCCGGGATGGCATTGTACGTTTCGGGGGACGGGAAGATCATCCAACGTGCTAGGTACCAGAAGAGATACATGTATCCAAACCATGAGAATATGTTACCTAAACCTCTTAGTACAACTGCTTGGTGGTATGTTTATTTGATAAGACTCAGACTGTTGATGCATACCCTTGAGAAGCATGCTATGCACCATTCGTACCGCCCACTTGGATAGGACACCCGAATTCATGAACTCGTCCTCATCGAAAAGAGCTGCAATATTGGGATGAATCTCAATGAGCTGCTCTATCGGCAGTCCAATATATGACAAGCTTGCAGCTTCCTGTAAGATGCTAGGAAGAGCATGCCCCAGCAAGCCAGGAACAGGTACAGTATTGATAGGTAGCATAGCCCATGTTGGAAGAAAGAAGTCATTAATCTGTGTGTGTTGCATTCCAGCTGAATAGTTGTCGTCTTTGATGCTGCTGGGAAATGGCATGTGGCTGAAAAGGTTACTGCTGTTTAGATTCCGATGTATGCACACTGTATTGACGATCGACTGCCGACCAGTGAGTTGGGTAGGGTAAATTGATTGAGCCCTGCATTGTCTGTCCAATGAGGGTCGCTGAATTCGAGAGGATGATTCGAATGAGAGAAGTGGACTTTTGCCACCGTTGCAGTCTGGTTGTTGTCGCAAGAGCCGCGTGTCGATTCTGACTCTTTCAAGATAGTCAGTTTCTTTACTGTTGTCTTCAGGCTCGTTTCTAGCTAACAGAAAGTCATTTCGATCGAACAGAAGAACCAAAAACGCATGGTTTGTTGATGCACCCCCGATGCTTGGATCCTCTTTTTCGCGTGACAGCGCGGAGGATGGAGATACGTGTGCTGAAGATGACCAACTCGTAGCTTGGCTTCTAGAATCCATAAAGACGGTGAAGCCCTTGCTAGTTTCTAAGCCTCTGTTCAAATTGGAAGCTGACTTGTGACTCATCCCCCTTTCAGAGGTTTTCGTAAACTCTCGGACCAGTAAGCTGAGGCCGGGTCGTCAACACGCTACAGGCAGAAGGTGCGACGATGGATTGATGCATACCTGGGGGGCTGACCGTATAATGCCGAGGATCCAGTCATATAGAGAGTCTTCGTGACGTTTCCAGGTAGCTCACCGAACCTTAGGCGCCCGAGAACAGCCGCCGCTTGGTCATCGGTTTCAGAACGCAGCGACGTGATTATACGCTTCAGGTCCTCCAACTCCTCGATCACGCTATCTCTTTTCATGATCTTTACACGCTCAGCTCTAGAAACGCCTTTGGCGACATCATCGTGGCATGCTAGATCACTGTTCTCGCATTGGTTGCACCAGGGTCTCTTGCCGTCACACTATGGATTGATGGTCAGCAATATGGGAAAACTTTCTCAAATTGCAAGTGAGTCAGGCACACTCCATACTGCTTAAGGCTTCGTGTGATGCTCGCCAGCTACGTGAAGTGTCTGATAAATATTGGTGCCACTTACCTTGGCCTTCTTTCTCTATCCCAGATGGATAGATGGTACTTTAGAATGTACCGTTTTATGCGCTAATTTTGTTAGTGATGACATGTACGATCTTCATGCGAAGAGATCAGAACGCCCATCGTACCAATATCTTACAACGTACCAATTATAGTTCGGCGCTTAATTTGTACTAAACTTAGACAATCATCTCGCATAGCTAGGCTCTTTTATCTATGCAATTTTCAGCACGATAAACCTCGTGGTTGATAGTGTTAGGGTTTGGGGTTCGTAGGTGTGATTGCGCTAGCGTGGGGACTTGGACAGCCCGCGCAGATGCAGCTAAACAACAAGAGCAACAAGAGCAACACAAGAAAGCAACACACTAACTGCACAACACAAAAGGTACAACATCACATTCACGCTACAGCTTTAAACAGCTCAGGCAGCGTCGTCTGGCGCAACGAAGCAGCAGGCGCGCTGTTTGAGCGGGCCTGCGACTGCATAATCTCAACCCGCTCATTGTTGTCATCGTCGTCGTCTTCGACATCGCCGTCGTCGTCGCTATCCTCAATCTCTTCCACCCTGTGCGTTGTGCCTGGAGCGTTTAGCTCAATGCTTAGCGTTTTCTTCCCTTTGATATCGCCGCCTGCGATGCCCTCTGGGCCCAACCACTCGTCGAACTGCTTGGCCGCAAGGCAGACATCCGGACGCTCCCGCTGGAGCAGCTTGATGAAGACGTCGACGCCCCAGGAGCGGATGGTCTGCTCAATCCAAGTCTTAGGTAGCACGTCTTCTGGCATGACCAGCAACACGCCCCAGCCCAAGCCTTCAGCGATCCTGTACCACTTGACTGCTTTGGCCAGGCGGTTTCGAAAGAGATCCCGCTCGCTCTTGGACGGATTCTGCTTGAGGAACACCAGCGGCATCAGCGTGTCTATAGCCTCGGTCCGGCGTTGACCCTTGCCAAAACGGCTTGTCTTGCTGTGGCTAAGTAGCCTGTCGCTGCGCTTGAGCTGCTCGAGCTTGTCGTTCATAGCCTTGCCTAGGAGCGCCTGCGCCCACCTGTACTTGATGTGCACTGATTTGACTACTTCTTCGTAGACCGTGCAGCGGTCCCAAGCACGGCAGAACACGCCATCTAAGCCGGTCGGCTCGGAGGGACGAATTGAGGGCTCATGCTCACGCAGCGCATGCGAAGAGAAGCCCTCAGGCGAGCCATCGCCGAAGAGCTTGCCCTGCTTTCGCCAGATCTGCAGGAAGTGAGCAGCGTGCTCCTGAGACGACGGGCTTCCGAGCGCGCGTGCCTTGGCCAAGAAGTCGCGCGCCGTGAGATAGGGCGACTTGACAGCGTTGTAGAAGTCGGTCTTCTTCTGGTGCCTGTCGACAGCGGCCTGTTTGAAGAGCCAGGCTATAACGTCTTTGTCTTGAACTGGCACAGCAGCGTAGGCGCCGCGCTCATCGTCGACTGCCTTCTCGTCTGGCGCCACAAGACCAAGGTCAAGGCTGCGCTCCACCTGGGCAGCCTCATAGGCTTTGATGCGTTGCCGCTCGGCGCGGCGGTTGTTGTTGGTGACTGTGGTGAGAACGCGCTGCTCGTCCACCGGCTGCGCATCTGGCTGCGCTTCCACCTCACTAGCCGGCTCCTCTGGCTGATGGCTTGCTTCCGTGCGAGCGCGCTTCGGTGACGACGCCTGCGCAGACGGTGCTGGTCGCTTCTCGCGCCGAGCCAGGGGAGAGGCAGGCGGCTTCTGCGCAGACGGCGGCTCAACCATGCCCTCCTCTGCGAGCGATTGGGCCGCGCAGACGAGACGGTCCCAGCCGTCGTTGGAGGGCGTATTGTCGGCAAGCGTCTCGCGCAGCAGCCAGATCGCCGAGAGGGCCGAGTGGGCAATGAAGACAGGCTTGCAGACGCTGGCATTGTCAGGGCCGGGGATCAGCCATCCTGCGCTGTGCGGACGGGCACCTAGTATATGATGCTACGTGAATCGACCCCCAATCTATCCTAGACAAGTAATCACGCACCCTAATCCAAAGACACGCGTATGCAATGCGGGTCCGATGCTGATTTTCGCTTATCATAGTCTGGCGTGAATTGTCCCCTTGCTTTCCGCGTTTTAGTGCTAGCGTAAGCCTCCTGAACTATTATATCCTCAATCCTAATGTGATAGGCTAGAGCCCTTTACTCTCTTATCCTCCATGATATCTCGGTTCTTCCTTCTGCCCGGCCTGATAGTTGCTCGGGCAACAAGCGAGACTACCTCACCGCTCTCGACCTAGGTATAGATAGATAGCTACGTAGCCTAGAGCTTAGCTCTCTATCGAATACAACTTCAGTATACCTGTGCGATAGCTCCTCGAGCGTAGCCTCTTACATTTAAGGTACGAGTAGCTATAGTAGAGCTATCTTTACATTCTTGCTTTTTGTTGATAATTGTAACCGCTTAAAGTGTAGAGATGGCAACAAGTAAGCTTTTCCATGTTACCTCACCCATCGGTCGTGCTGAACCCATTTACGTTTAGTAGCCCCATTGAAGAAAGCTTGAGAGCGATCTTTCGCATATACAGCTCGCATGGCTTACAGTCCTGCCATCCATCATGGCGAGACAGATGGTCCGAACGCAATTCACAGCCGTCGTCCTTAGACGTAGCGCCCGTCTCGATCGCTAGATCGAAGGAGCTCACACCGGCTTCAGCAGCGGCGGCGGCTTTCTTCTCTTCCACACTTATCTGTTCTGCCTCTTCTTCCTCCTGCCGTCTGATCTCAGCAGCCTCTTTGTCCAACTTGACCTTTAGCTCCTTCGCATGTGACTTACTAAGCCCCGTATAAGGATCCATCTCCACCTTCGGAAGTTCAGGTCCGGGTTCGGGTCCTGGTACAGGTACAAGTTCAAGCTCCAGTTCTAGTTCTCCCTTCTTACCGTTCTTCTTCTTAGTGCCAGCAGCAGCCGCTCCCCATCCACCACCCCATGGATACTCCTCTTTGACAGGTGAGGGCTCGTCGACGACTGGCTCTGGCTCTGGCTCAGGTGGCGGGAGCTCTTCCCCAAGTACGCCCTTCTTCTTCTTTTTCTTTCTGTTCTTTGCGGTGCCGCCAAAGCTGAGTGCTCCCCATGAGTCGTCCTCTTCTTTCTTCTCAGGTTCTGGCGGTGAAGGAGGAATTGCTGGTACACTGTCTTCAATCAAAGTCCCTTTCTTGGTCTTCTTCTTGGCCTTCATTGTAGCACCTAAGCCTCCCCGTCCGTCATCTTCAGCTGGCTTCTCCTCAGCTGGCGGGTTCTTGAACGCATCAAAGTTGAAGTCGAATCTATCATCCTTCTTCTTCTTATCTGAGGAACCCCAGGGGTTATCGTCTTCTGCATTCGTGTTCCTATTCAACGGGCCCCAACTAGAAGGCCAATTCCCAAGTCTAGGAAGCCCAAATCTAGGTTTAGTTGCGCCCGTGTCACCAAAATTCATGTCAATCTTTGGTGCACTTGCTTCGTTCAGATTGATGTCGTCGAATGTTGTTGGTGGTCTCGCTAGAGGATCTGGAGAGGGCGCGGGTGGGGGTACAGGCTCGGCCGTCTGTCGTGATTTAGCGTGCTGCTATGTGTAACTAAAAAGCCGAAATGACCAACCTTCCCCTTTTTGCCCTTCTTCTTCATTTTACCGGCCGAAAGTGCGCTCCAATCGCCCCAGATGTCGTCTTCTTTCTTCCTGCTCGTCTCAGCTTCAGCAGCAGTGGCGGCAGGTTCCTCTTCCGCCGCTATCCGTGCTGCCTTAACTTTTTCAGCTTCAATACGCGCTCGTTCTTCTTCCGCCGCGATGCGTTCCTGCTCTTCACGCTCAAGGCGTTTCTGTTCTAGGCGTTCTTCACCTTCGCACTCAAGACGCTCTTCTTCTTCACGCTTGTCTTCGAGCTGAATATCGGGTGGCGACGACGGAGGAGATGGACTCATCGGAGGTGGAGGTGGAGACGGAGGTGAAGACGGAGGTGGAGGAGGCAACCCCGCCGTATGGCCTTTCTTCACTTTCTTTCTCTTTTCGGAGATGACAGGCACGCCACCCCAGCTATCCCACGTCGACTCAAGCTTAAATATATCTGCTTCATCTTTGGTAGCAACCGACCTTGCAACGGCAAAGTCTTTTTCTTGAAGTTGCGCAATGTTTTCTCTCTCTGCTCCAAGCTGCTGGATCTTAGCTAACGCTTCCTCCCGTACCCTTGCTTCGACATTCTCTCTCTCTTTCACGACGGCGTCTTCCTTCATCCTTCTCTCACTCTCCATCGTCTCTTCCCTGTTGCATGAAGATAAGGCTGCAGGCGCAGTAGCCTCAGTTCTGTTACTCGGATCCTGGCTCAGATCGGGCGAATAGGAACCTGGAGGCTCACTATGTTCAGGCGTTGAGATTTTGTCAGTTGTGGTCTTTCCTTTGCGCAACTTGTCTACTTCCTCGCTGTATAAACCAACGACGACTTGAGCCAGTAGCCGTGTCAACGTGGGGCTTTCGATGTTTTCGAAGAAGTCCGGTGCCGATAACATGGGAGGGTCTTGTTCGAATGCCAATCGAACTTTCTTTGACACGAAGTCTCGAAGCCACGCATGCTCATCGGCAGGCCCTGCAATAAACTCTTCTCGAATGGCGTGCACGACATCACGTAAACACATCTCGTTGCCTCGTCGCTCCAGCTCGATTTGTGCTAACTCCTGGAGACCAGGCACGCTGTACTTCTCAGCGGCTTCTAGAGTAAGCAGAGCTATCTGGAACTCATTTTGAACAAGAATTCTGTCGATGTTCTCGGCATCCTCGACATCTTCGTCGTTGAGTGTCTGATAGACACCCGTGTGCAGAAAGTGGATCAAGACGTGACCGATGCTTGCGTCAACATCTACAAGGTGAATCTCGTGTGTCCAGGGATCACGACTCGGAATGTTCTCCAATCTTTGCAGCAGAATCTCTGGAAGATAGTATATCTGATGGGAGAGACCAAAGTGTAAGGTAACAGATGGACTTGTATATAGGCTGAGCTAGTCAGCTTCAAAAAGGGGTGCTTGTATGAATGGAGGAAGCCTGCCTCACCTTGTTCTGAGTCGGAGAAGCGCATCTTTGGCTGCTTTCGCGCCCTTGACCTTCTTGGCCATCCCAATTGGAATAGTTCGGGTGGCACTATCCGTAGGATCTTGGGAATATCAGGGAGAAAATCCTTGGACTGGCGCTGAAGTCAAATACAAAGAGCCTTTACCTTGAACGTAGGATTGTTCAGGAGATATCTCGTGCTGGATTTGTGCATACTCATTCGTGAACGGCATCCCACCCACGCATTGACGAGTTGTTCATGGAGGATCTCTGCATATGCGCTGACACGACACCATGCATACCAAGCCGCTTAGCCGCTTGACCCGCACCTAAATTCTCAGCCTGATCAGAGATTGTTTGGTCAGATCGCAATCGTCATGATAAATGCCTGTAAAGAGTAAGCCTTGGTATGGGTGGGGCGCAGTTTGAACTTGTCGCACTCCGCGTCAATATTCGCGTGCACTTTCAAGAGATCAACTCGCAGATGCAACCACAGTGCGTGATGTGTCACTGTACCATTGGCTCCAAAGTCGCATAGCACTTGCACAAGATAGTGACTGTAAGGGGCTACGCTCGGGGAGCTATCGCACAGGTATACTGAAGTTGTATTCGATAGAGAGGAGAACTATAGACTGCTGGGTTGCTGAAGGTCAATCGGTGGAAGCTCGGATGAACCTTCGGCCGGGATTCAGGGGTTAGGCCTGGGCGTCGTTCAGACGTGTACCGTGCGCATGTGCACGTGACCGAGGTATCATTGAGGAATTCACTAAGCAAGCTTCAGCCCATCACATGTCTCTGGGTATGATTCGCCATTGATGCATGGTAGCGAAGAGCAAGGTGATCATCGCCAGAACGACCATTGGGTACCGGTAGGACCCGCGGGGTAACCGCGCCGCATCACTGATTATTATTACTTCCTTTGCTCTGAACTGCGCCAATTATTCACTGTCATTCGAAAACACTGCAAGATGATAGCGTGAATATGTAGCCGCTCAGGGATCATCGTACGATGATTTGAGATTATGAGCTATGGATAGATGCGTCTAAGAGGTGAGACGTGGTAGGCTATCATTCGAGCAATGCTGCGCCACCAGCGGTAGCTAAGCGCTTGCTCCCACGGCTGAAACAGCTCCCACGGTTACCACGGATCATTTGATGGGCTCATGATATTTTCTTTCGCTTCAGAAGACAAGCTCACCGTGCTCGCCACTCTTCTTACTGTTACAAGCAACAAAAGGAACTCCACCCTTGATGAAGGAGTCGGGTGGGAACGCCAACCGACGACCACGTCAGAAGGTAATGATCAACGCGGGGCGCTGGTCACGTGACTGACATCCCGCCAAGGCTGACCATCCGGGATGGCAGCGCTACTTGGGATGACAGAGCCATCACGGATATCCCTTGGGGAATAGATGGACGGGATGGCGGGGACAGATTGCGATGAGTATATAGGATGGACGGATTTCATTATTACACTCGTTGTGGTCAACTCAAATAGTTCATCTCTTACACAGATTGTCAACTAGTTATTCTATCGTTCATAGAATTGTGTCGCAGGCCAAGCGCTGTCGGAAACCTTGTTACTAATAACGCCGTACGATGGCCTTCATATAAGCTTAGCTAGGAGTCACAAACAATAAAAATACACTCCCTCCCAATTTTTCAATCTACAATACCCGCACCCAACCGTGCGACAAATACTCATCTACACCACCGTTCGCTGTTATCGTATGAATACATTCATGAAGCCACGTGACACTAGTTCTTTACAGCTCAGTGTGGTAGCTGTTGTCTGTCCTGCCATCACCTTTTCAAGAAACGACAGGGTTGTTCAATGGCAACGATCACTATGACCTTCAAACCTTGGCCTTTTGGCTACGCTGGAACCAAGAAAATCTTTCCGGCTTTCGCAGTCTAAGGCGCCTGTTTTTGACCATGAGTGAATACATAGTGTCGCACGGTTGGGTGCGGGTATTTTAGACGGAAAATTAGGGAAGAGTGTATGTTGTCTTGTTTGTAACCTCCTAGCTGAGCTTATATAAAAGGTCATCGCACGGCGTTATTAGTAACAAGGTTTCCGACAGCGCTTGGCCTGCGACACATAGCATAGTACGTATGAGCAATTTGTTTAACATTTCACGATGACATGAATTGATTATCGACTATGGTTGGCTCATTCCACCTCGCTGAGGACCTAGAGTTCAGCTACTATGTTTTTTCCGAATA